TTCCCAGGCATGGTTCCTCCTGCTGCAAAGCCTGTCGGTTTCCGACGTGATATATTTTAACTCAAGCGAATCATTGTTAAATCTTATTGCAGGCGGCCTCATCGACTGCACGCCAGTCTTACCCTTTCTGCCGTTATCAGGGCGCCCTTAGCCTCCCGCGGAGTCCCACAAGAGGCGATGACTTTACCCTTAGCTTCTCTTTCTTAAAATACAATTAGACAATATAATGTGTCCCTAAACCTCTGGTGGGAATTTTGCAATAATAACAGTCTGCTTTATCTCGTTTATAGTCTGAAACAGGCTCAGATGCCCGCATAAAAAGATTACTTAATGGGCGCATTTAGATTGAAACCCAATGCACCAAAGTATAGCAATACTTGGAATCCCCAAGTCGTTCTCGCATTAGTTTCAGCGTGGATTCCCAACACAGAACTTCCTCTTGAAAAACTTGCGAAAAAACATGTTACTTTACTTGCACTTTGTACTGCACACCGCGTACAAACTGGCATGATTAAAATGAAAAACATACAAATATCAGATATTCCGATTAAAATTGCAATACCTGATTTAATCAAAATGTCTGCGCCTGGTCGCATACAGGCCACATTAAATTTTCCATGTTTTAAAGAGGATATAAGTATTCGCCTTGTCGCAGTTTTCAAACATTGTATTTTGGTAACACAAAATAAGACAACTGGACATCAGGGAACGCTCTTGCTGACACCCAGAGCTCCCCACAGGAGCCACGAGTGAGACCTGAGCCGATGTGTGCGGCAGGTGTGGGAGCGGCGCGGCGGGTTAAATATTAAATATTATATCGAGAGTGAAGCGACGAAATATAATAGATGATCAAACAAACTTCTTGAAGTGAATCTCGATTGCTATTATGTGAGTCGCTTCATTCGAAGATTATAATCAACACCCTCCCTCCCTTGACATCGTCATAGGTATCAGAAGTAAAGATTCTGAAACTCCCAAAAAAGTTTTACTTCCCACTCTAAAAGGAATGAGGACAGAAAATGGCGGTTGTTGCCTGGTAGGCAGTAAATTTTTTTTTTCTCTAAAAACCGTGCGGTGTTGCCTAGTAATTTAAGGAAACTAACTAGTTAAATATTATAATCTTCGAATGAAACGACTCACATAATAAGAAGTTCGTTTGATCATCTATTATATCTATAAACAGTCTTAATATGGTATATGTTTAGATAATAGTTCTCTATAAATGGTTTTAGAAAAAAGAAATTGTTCTCATAGACGTACTTCACTCAAGTCAAAATTTTAAAACATTCTTAATACCAAATAACTTAATTAAGTGTAATCTCTTTTAAGATTTACTCCTATAGTACTTATTTTAAGTTCATTTGTAGATCAACTGATTGTTTTTAGTAAAATTGTTCTATACACATCCAGTAAAGTCTATTAATACTCTAAAAACTAGTGTTCTTAAGTTTATTCTAGATATATTTCATTTACAGACAATCTGTAGTATTTATACTTATTAACAAACACGTTATAGAGCGTCTTCTGTAGATTTTATTTAAAAAAACACTATAATTAGGGTTTCTACTCTATTGGACGTTGTAAGTTCGTGCAAAATGGATAAAGTAAAGAATATTAAAAGATCTGGTGTAGGTGGTGGACCTTGGGTATTATGTCTAGAGATGAGATTAACTGCTATATTTGCATAGCGCGCTAAATACAAAATTTTGAAAAAGTGCTAAAATTATAATGTTTAGCAGCTCAAGGTTGTGTGATAACGTAACGAATGGAAAGAGACGTGAAACAGTTGACGCGTGCTAACTTGCTAAGACTAGCATGTATAATCTATCTATAGAATAGTCTACATTTTTTACGGTTAGTTACGACTGGCTTCATTTGTTTTGTAAGTACTACATAACATGGTGGTTACAGGTTATAGAAGATAAATCAACGAGCTTCCCTTCATACTTAAACAATTTACTATTTACAATTTGCACAAAACTTTACACTGGTTATTTACAGTAAATTACACTCATAATAATTCTTTCTCCTACTTATATACAAATATTACAACAAAGTTGTTACCTTTTAATTAAACAAACGCTAAACTAACTAAATAAATCCAAGTAATTATATTTTAATTTAAATTGCTTCACCAGACAAAATTTTGCTAAAGTTCCATCATTAGCTCAAAATCGAAATTATACCTAACCATAATTATAATTTATAACATAACTGCAACTATAATACTTGCTGAGTGCTAAATATAGCATTAGCATTTAGCGTGCTCAAGCGTGAAATTTAACATCAATAAACCAATCAGCTATTTCGAGTTTCGCACCAAATGTTAAATGCTACAAATAATATGTGAAAGTATTTCACGTTATAATTGATTCAATCAATGACAAGAGCCTCAATTTGATATTAATTAGCTCCCCATTTTCACACAGAATATCTATGAAATATTAAGGGAGATAACACAGGACGAAGAAGGATTTTGTTTGTTAGCTGCGTAAGTAAAGCACGGATAGATTGATGGCAATCGACGCATTGAAATATTGTAAAATTATGTCGCTAGATGGCATTTAGTTTAATTATCTTTATGTACTCCAATCCAAAATGAAAAAAGTACGTTTTAATTTTAGCGCCCTTATTTCTTTCACATTATAATTGCTATAATATTTTCTAATTTAACGTTATAATTTGAGCTATACATTATATTAACCATCTCTAATTATGTCACATCATTCGATACATTAGTCGGTAATTCGCGCGCGAGACGGGCATGATTCATTTTTGTTTCTTGACAAATAAATAAACATTGTGAAGTAATTCCGTGTTCTGAAGTGAAAAAACAATTGAAATGAGCGGGTAAACTACTGTACTTCCATGTTGCGTATGTGTATTGTGCCGTCTATCAATAGAATACAGTTAAATCATTGTGTATAACGTGATTGGCGTGAAGAAATAACCTCAATTTTCTAATAACAATTGTATTTCTTCCAACATAAGTTAGATATGTCATTGAAATATATCTGATAGAGAATTCATCCACCTTCCTGGTCATATATAACACATTCCATATAATTATACAGAATAACGTTTTTTTGCAACAAATTAGATTTTTTCAATTGTTTTTTGACCTTGGGTGACGTGTGGAAGGTTGTTTATTGCATAAAATGCACACCATTCCTACAACTTTTACTCCTTATAAAGGTTTTGCTATACGGTCAAAAGAAAAATCGCTCAGAAAATCGCGTTTTGTAGACAATCATAAAAGCTTCACAGGAGTGAATATTCTTCTACAAGATCAACTACAACACTAAAGCAAAGAAAAATAATCTTTTCGTATTATAAAGTTTTTCTGTAAATAAAGCTATAGGCAAAATGCACTGTTTTGAAAAAAGCTTTGAGCCAGCGCCGCGTGAAGTGGGCGCGACGTGTTACGTGCAATGACAGTAACCAGTGTTGTACACGCGTTTTGATAACGGTGATATACATAATTCCGCTTGATAATGAAACACAGCAATCAGCGCATGAGACGCTGGTGGAATGAACGTGAAGGATCACGTGAAATAACAGTAACCATTGTTGCAAAAGACACTTTAAAATATATTTAATTAAACTAAGTGGGCAATTGAATCACAGCGGCTTGGTATTTGGGGACTTTGCACGTCTTCACAGGGTTTATTTTTTCTGACATGCAAGTTCCCTTATTATTTATTTAAAAAGCTATAAAAATACATTGTAGTTATTATTTAACAACATAGATGTTATTATATGCCTTTTTACTTTTTACTAATCAAAGATCGTCGAAACGTAAACTGAGCGTACGTGTGATTGTCATGCGGGACGTGGAATATCGTCAGATGCGCCATATCACGAGACAAACCCGCACACAACTGCTATTTTTGAATGCAGCACGTCGGTAGATACTTCTATAACTGTCGGTGTAACAATACGAATCCTGTCGTGTATTCATTCCACATCAATAGATGAAGTGTAACGATAGCGAATTCGTTCATTGCTGCCTTTTCAGAGCGACTTAACGGGAGGTGACGCTGTAAGCGCGAGTCACGCGGGGCGCAACAGGGAGTGGGAGTAAATAAAACAGAGCATTAGTTCGATCATTGCTTTTATTTTGGAAATTTGAGGTCCTTAACATTACTTATGCATAATTATAAATTCATTGGCTAGCGTTAACCTAAACAACCTGCTTACGAACCAGTCTTCGGCCAACACTCCTCTCCAGCCCCTCTCATCAAATGCAACTTCGGATTCTACCCTCAATACTATTATAAAATACGTTAATTCAATTTATATTTACTTAAAGTATTTTTATACAGGAAAACATCATGTTCTATATATTATTGCTATGAGGTGAGGCGCGTGCCGACGCGTGCGCCTCAACGGCGGTATCACCGTTGCCGTACCTGCTGTAATGTTACGAAGTGGAGACAACCTTCATTAACTACATAATACGTATGTATAATACTCTTGTTAGTACTTCTTTTTTTTATAATTACATCTACAGGTACCTGCCTGCTCACTCGCACTATGTATGTCCATAGTAAGCTGTTTAATATTAGGGAGTAGGTAATTCACCTGTCTTTTAATTCGTTCAGTTTTCAGGAAGAATGGACTCTACTATTCCACCATTAAAATTCTTCAATAGACGAAGATCGACGCTAATACGAGCCAAATGTTGAGAAACATTTGTTTATTATGAAATAAGTTGAGTCGATTTAGTAAAAATACCTAATAGAATTTTTCAGACGGTGTTTTTAACTGATCACCTTTTACAATGGAGACAGTAATCCAATGATACCGGTAGCGTGATGGCGCTTGCCGCGGTTGGACGGATCGAAACTACAAACAAATAAAGTTCACGGAATGTACTGTCGGTTTCACCAGATACGTAGCAATCAGAACTGTACATCTGAACTACGCTGTACACAACCGGCGCATACCACCGACGTTCAAGTTTGACGTCCAGCAGAGGCGCCGTCGCCGGCGAGGGGTCAGGGCGGCGGGGGGCGCGGGGGCCGCGGGGGCGCGCGCGGCACGCGCAGGTACTCGCGGCCCGAGCGCGGGCGCAGCAGGCTCGTGGCGCCGCGCGCGCTGCAACAGACCGCGGTCAGCGCTGGCGCCGGCCGCTGGCGGCGGCTGCGCCGGCACTCACCGCAGGGCGACGGGCGTGTCGCTGGACGAGTGCGACGAGCACAGCGACAGCGTCTCGACGTAATCGGACATGTCGGACGTGCCGCTCGACGTGCTGTGCGTGTCCGCCACCGTGGCGACACCGCCTGATGGGAATTTTAAGCAGTTATAGTTAGTAGTAGTAAACGGGACGTCGATTTCTTACCGAAGCGCTGCAGTCTTTTTTTTTTCATTGCACGCGTTGAAAATGAATATTTTTTCCGTACACTTAACGACATCTTTGACCACAATTTATCTCGGGGTACAGATCGAAATTAAAAATATGAGTGTCGTCAGGACCTGCAGAATTATATTTTTATGCTAATTTCAAAGTTCATTCGTGTCAGCTAACGAACGGCGGAGTGACTGCGTAGCGATTTACGCAATCGGAGTGCATGCCGAGAAAGAATCGTTCACTTCCTCTCCGCCCTTCTACAAACGGGTTACTTTAATATTTATGGCTGATCACAGAAATATGAAATAGTCAGCACTAGCTACAAGTATATTCGTTTTTTTTACTACGACATTTTTAGCTATTTAATTAGAATGATCAATAAGAATGCGCATTAACCGAAACGGTTCGGCGGTAAGTGAACG